AGCTTGTGATAATTCATCACCTCTTTGTACCGCTAGCTTATGTTCATGTATGCGTGATCCAAGCATGTGCTCAGTTTGGCCTATGTAGTTACGAGGAAAGCTTAGGCATGGGATGCGAAACACTATCCCAAATTGTTCATTGGGATTCAGCTGTTTTTTTATTTTAATTACCCTGCTGGGCCTGGTAGCTTTGGGTCTGTATGCAATTCCAACACCTAGCTCCGCAGCGACGCGCCCAGTCACTTCCGAAACGTGCATGATTTATGACAGAGCGTGCCATATCCTCGGTGGTTCCTCTGTTTGGGTCCTCCGAGGCCGAACGCGTAGGCATCAGTTTATAAATGCTTTCGGATAACTATTACGCATGAATTGGTTGCGGAGATATCGAGCCTCTCGTACCTTCCTTATCCATGCCAATACTTGGAACGCGAACGTTTGCATTAAGTCATAAACTCTCATGTTTTTAACGGAGAATTGACTGCTGTTTGTGCTGGTTAGGCATGGAATGATGAAGCAAGTAAATTTTAGCCGACAGTACTCAGGTTTTCTTAATGGGAAGGTGCTTGTCTTTCTGGAGTAAGTATCGCAATCTGCGTGCCTTGGTTAAAGTTTAGGAAAAAGGAATCAAGAGGTGCCTCCAGCCTATCTGATTTTGGTGACGAAACTGGCGTACAATTCAATGAGAAGCACGCTGTTTCTGAAGTATCTGTCACGACATGGAAAATAGGCATATGAACTGTCGAAAAATAACAAAACAAAACTCTTCTTGGGTATGCTGGTGGTTGATCGGAAACGTTTATATGTCCACCGGACTCAACAGCACCCAAGAATTGGCACGCCACCTTGCAATTCACGTAGTGTAAATTCACCCGTTTTTATGGCGGTTCCTGCTTCCCTGTCCTGTTGGGAACGGGAGCAATATGAACGATCCCTAGCCACAGGTGACCCATGCACTGCTCAACAGTCTACTGTTGTGGATCAGAGAAACAGGTTTGGGTGATTATAGGATTCGAATATGTGAAACTTAGAAGGAGGAGAACGACTTGTTTAATATTCAACAAAAATGGGTAGCACTGACGCTGGAAATTTTCTGATCGATGGACTTCGAAACTTTGATTGAATGTAGGGGACTATATAATCGGGTGGTGTTGTTGTGGCGCGTGCTTCGCGCACACCGCCTGCGCCCTGTCCCATCTCCGGTCTTGTCAACTTAGTCTTGACACCGGGTTCAGCTGTGGGAGTGGCCAGAGAGGGGGGTAAATTTTCCGCGAGTCTACTTTC